TGTGTGCACAGCCAGTGACGTCATACGTGGATTCACGTATACTTCAGAGTCGCGGTCCGCCAGTCTGCACCTCGCGAGGTCTCCACGGTCCATCCACGCGCGCACACCACACGCATGGAGGTCCGACTGTGGGGCGGCGTACTGCGCAGCTCACTGGTTCTTCTTCTGTGCGGGCGGGGTCTCGGCGAACGCGAGCACCAAATACGCAACCACCACCGCCTGCACCGCCACGATTGCGGCTATGCCCGCGTACAGCACGCGGTCTGTGTGGCGGTGGACGCCGGCGCTCGGCAGCAGCGCGTAGCAGCCGCCCATCACGCCGAGTGGGACCGCCACCATCAAGCCCGTGAAGCGCACGAGCGTCCGAAAGGCCTTGATGTTTTCGCCGTCCCTGGGGCGACGTGACGGCTGTGAGCGAGGCGGCGGGCGGCGGGCGGCTGGCGAGGGGAGATTGGCTCGCACTTGAGCAGCGCAATGAGGCCGGCGCTGCCGCCGCCAGCTCTCCACCGCGCCGATGCGCCGACGAGCACCGGATGCTGGAACGACCAAGGCGGGAACTTGCCGAGCGGCGGATCACTGACACAGGCCGGCGGCGCGTGAGTGCAGGCTGCGGGATGCCGGTGGCGTGGCAGTGGCGCGGTTTGTGTGGCGCACAATGTAATCTCGCTGCTGCTCGTCGTCGCATCGTCGTCGCGGCTTGCCTCGCCGGTTGACATTCGCAGGGAGGCAGCGGCGAGCGCGTGTGGCACAGCGAAAATGAAAAACCTTGTTGATGGACCGGGAGGCGGTAAGTCGTCGTCGCCCGGCGCTGCTTGCAGCACCATGGCGAGGGCGCTAATAAGAGGTTCCTCTTTTCCGCGCCCCCCCCCGCAAGGCGCGCGATACACTTCGCCTGGATGTGCGGTTAATCACTGCACTCCAAGTGCTCCAAGTGGGGGTAGGCTGTCTTGCCCGTAACCCGATCCCAATCGTCCGGCCTCTGGGTGCGTTTCTTCCCGGCCCTGGGCGCGCGGCTACCAACTCTGCACTCCAAGAGTCTTGGCCAGGTCTTGGCACTTGGGCATTAGGCTGTATAAGCTTTTCCTCTCGCACCCGTCTCTCTTCCTTTCCCTTTTTCTCTACAGCCTCTCTTTTCCTCTCTGTTTTCCCGGGGAAACTCCGTGAAAATCGTCATTTTGGGGGGCTCTGAGCTGAGTCTGAGGCAGGCTGTTTTGCTTTTGGTCAGCAAAATCGGCAAAATACCGGTGTTTTTCGGGTATACTAACTTTTTCATGGTACATACCTGGAAAATACCCGGGAAGTTTGCCGATATCCATATCCTCAATTTTGCCTCAGACTGTTGGCTCAGATTTTGCCCCAGACCAGCTCTCAGGACTCAGGGAAACTCGCGAGTTTCCCGAGGGAAACTCGAGAGAATGAAACAGAATGGAGCACCAAACACCCTCTGTTTTCCCTTGAAATTTCCGGAAACGCAAAGTGCTGGGGACGCTCTGAGCTCTGTTTTCCTTCTTCGTTTGTTTGCCGGAAGGAGTAGGAAGCCGCCGGATATAACTGGGCCCCGGACGTAAGTGGCGGGCCCGGGCGGGGCCGGTTCCGTCCGGGCCCGGCAGGGCCATGGGGCACCGGCGGGCCCTGGCCGGGTCAAAAGTGGCCGCTCCCGGGCCTGCCCGGGCCCGGCAGAGGCCAGAGCGTGCCAACGCGCAGAGAGTCGCCCAACGGATGGGAAAAGACAACCCACTAGTTGTGGACGAGATGCACCCTCGACGCACCCTGGCCTGTGCAGCGCATCAAAAACACACTAACCACACGTTGCCTTCCAAAACTTCCCCCGCACCAAGCACCAAACTCAGTCACACCTCTTGCGTGGCGGCCATCATTCGCCGCATTCCTCCGTTGCCTGTCACTGTTGCTGGTATCGAAGGCCCCAAGTGCAAAAGTCAGCTCCGTCTCGTCCAGTCCATTGCCATTCTCGTCAAATTGCATGAGGGCGCGGGCTACCGCCTCATTCTCCGCATAGCGCTTTGCTGCGATGATTCGGCCCTCTGGAGAACGCGCGTAGGCCAGCGCCGCCTCCTCGGCGGTACCAAACGAACCGAGGCCGCGGGTGTCCTTGACCGAAAATTGATTCTCCGGAGGTGTGGAAGGGCTGACAAGAACGTTCTTGTATCCACTCGCACTGACCTTGGCGCCTGCCGACTTGTCGCTACGGAGGAGCAGGAGGCCTTCTTCCGCAGCTTGCCGGAGTGAAGCTGCGGCGGCGTTGATTTCAACGTCCTGTCCTGCAGCTTTCCCCATACCACAGGACGTGCAGGCACCCATGGCCTCCGGGGGGCGGGGGGGGGGGGGGCAATTGATCGATCCGGTCGGGCGCCCCCAAGGTTTGTGTCTGAACGATTTACCCCCCGCGGGGGGGGATGTTTCTTTTGTGATGTGTCGCGGACAAATCCAAGTAGACGTTTTGGGTGGGTATCGCGTCTTAGGAAGCCGCCGGATATAACTGGGGCCCCGGACGTAAGTGGGGCGGGCCCGGGCGGGGCCGGTTCCGTCCGGGCCCGGCAGGGCCAGGGGCACCGGCGGGCCCCGGCCGGGTCAAAAGTGGCCGCTCCCGGGCCGCCGAGCGTGCTTTTGCCGGGCCGGTTTTCTCCTCGCCAGGCCCGCCTCGCGCAAAACGGGCCCGGCAAACCCTCCTGCCCGGGCCCGGCTGTGAGTGAGCGGGCCGGTCGATGTGCCGCAGACGGGCCCGTGCAGGACGGTTTGCCGGGCCGGGTTTCTCCTCGCCGGGCCCGCCTCGGCCCTCGCTCCTCGACCTGCTGATTTGGGCGCTTCGGCCCGGGGAGGGGCAAAGCCGGGCCTGGCACGCATAGATCGAGGACCCGTTCGCCCATCCAATATCTCCCACACTGCTCTCCCACTCGGCCGCGGAGGCCCCAACTGAGAGGTGAGAGCGGGGCCCGGGGGGGAGCGGGAGGGGGTCCCTACTGGTCGTGCCCACCCCTCGCACGACCCCGGGCGACAGCGGGGGACCCCGCAGCAGCAAACCCGCCCCACTTACATCCGGTGGCTTCCTATATACGGGGGAAGGACCGTGAGATGACGGAAATCGGGGGACGCGACCCACCTCGCCACAGACGTTCCCGCGCCTCGCCGCTAAGACGGGTACACGACCGCGGCTCGTGTGCGTGTACCCGTCTTTGTCCGGAGTGAAACGTCCAACGCGCTCGTCGGTGGCGGCTTCCCCCAACCTGCGCCGCGCTCGGCGAACCTCGACAGCGCCTTCGGTGGCATGCAGCTCTTTGCGACATAAGCCTGGAGAGCAGCTTCTCTGCTGCTCACACGCTCTGCACAGTTGGCACAGCCCACTGTGCGGCTGCCACCAGCTGTCACAGCGATGGGCTCGCCCTCACTGGCCCTCAGTCACTTGTGCTCTGCGGCTTGTGTGAGCGACACTGCTCGGCGACTGCCGGCACACTGTGAGACCATGGGTGTGAGGTCAAACCACGCTACCAGCGCTTGGTCACATCTCGGCCCCGAGGTCAGATCCATCTACTCTGTTGATGACAAGACTTGTCTACTGGCTGGAGCCGAGCAGGAGGGCCTGGCGCACAGCCCCTGGTCAACTCAGGGTCCACACCCCGTACAGGGGCCAACTTGGGCAAGAGTGCTCCAAAAGGCCGGCAGCACTATACCACTTCAAAGCTTCAAAAAGCCTCCCTTCCCGGTATTTTCTCTTTCTTCACGACGCGCCCCTCCACGCGCGCGAGGCTGCCCCCCGGCCGGCGAAACGCCGCGGGTGTGCGCCCCTGCTCCGCTCCCTCCGCCGGCCCTGCTGCGCGGGCACTGCCGCCGCCGCGGCCGGCGCGGCGCCGGGCGCCGCGCCCTCGCCCTCGCCCTCGCCCTCGCCTTGCGGCGGCGGGTCGAGGAAGCGCGTGCCTCGCTCCTCGCACGGCGAGACGGGCACGCCCGCCTCGCCGACCAGGCTGTAGAACCGGTCGAGAAAGGGCGCGTACAGCGCGGCCACCTCGCGCCGCCACGCAGGCGGCATGCGGCCGTGGCCGGACGCCTTTGAGTTCTGCTTTTCCTTTGCGACGCGGCGGGAGACGGCGGAGGCTGCGATGCGCTCGGCCTGCGCCCGCCGCAGCCCTGCGTGCAGCACCACGTCTCGCACCACCGCGGCGGGCCGCTGCACCTGCGGAGGGGGGGGGGGGAGGGGGAGACGTGGCGAGAAAGGTGTCCGGGGGGTCGGGGAGGCAGCTGTGCGCCATTCCGGCGAAGGAGACGAGGAGGAGCTGCGCCGGCTGGAAGTACTCCAGCCAGCGCTGCAGCTGCGGGTGGTAGAGGCCGTGGTCGAGGTGCGGCGCGCAGCTGCCAAACGGCGGCGGGAGGGAGGGCGGCCAGAGCGGCGAGGTTGGGTCTCGCCGGAGGCACCTGCGCAGGGGCGAGGCGCCGGAGGGGCGGGCGCGGGTTAGAGGCGCCGCTCTGCCGACAGAGTGTCCCTCTCGCGTCCTGTCCTGGAGGCGTCTGGCTAGCGTGCGGGACAGTGTCTGGGACGTGTCTGGGGAGTGTCCTGGAGGCGTCTGGCTAGCATGCGGGACGTGTCTGGGACAAGTCTGGGGAGTGTGCAGGAGGCGGCTGGGAAGTGTCTGGGAGGTGTCTTGGGAGATGTCTGGGAGGCGTGGTGCGCCAAGCAATGCGCACTGCGCGCCCTGTTCAGCTCAACTGGCACAACTAGCACGCGGTCGCTAGTTTCAACTACTCAAGCAAGCGGCGCACTCGCGCGACCGGTTCAGCTTGGGCGCGGTGAAGGCGTCAAAGGTGACCCTGTCCCAGTCGCCGCCGTACGACTTGAGCTCCCAGAAATAGGACCAGTACTTGGCCACCTGCGGCGAGGCCGGGCGGCGGCGCGGCGGCGCTCGGCGGGCGGCGGTGCCGAGCTCGGCGGGCGACGGTGCGGCGGTCGCACCGGGTCGCGGAGCATCCACACGAGCCGGAGCTGGCCGAGCGCCCGGCCGTAGAAGGCGGCCATGTTCTTCGGCGCATCGTACCACACATGGTACGCCGGGGTCGCATCGATGCCGACGACGGTGCGCGCGCCGCTAGCCGGGCACTTTGGCCACGCCCGCTCATACCAGCCGCGGCCACGGCGCCACTGCGCAGGGTCGCCGAAGAAGTCCTTCTCCTTCTTGGAGATGTAACCCTTGTCGGTGGTCCTGCCCGTGTCTATGGCGCCCTCGCTATAGTCGACCAGCCGGCCCCACAGCAGCGTCGAGCCCGTCTTGATTGAGCCGATGAGCAGCAGCGACGGAAGCAGCCGGCCGCACGCGGCGCACGCGGGCACCGAGCAGAGCGATCCGTCGCGCACCGGCAGCGGGGAGTGTGGAAGGGTGCAGTTTGATACGGCGAGCGATGGAGTCACGAGGGGCATTGCAAGCAAGCACCAGCGTCGCTCTTCCCGCGAAAGAGAGAAAGCGAGTACTTAGAACACAAGGCACTCTCGCACTTAAAATCCCTGTGTGGTGGCGGCGTGCCGTTCTCCCATCCCTCCCTTGGGTTGTCTGCTATCTTTCTTTCTTTCTTTTTCTCGCACATCCCTCCCTTGGGTTGTGTGTTTTCTTTCTTTCTTTCTTCTCTCACGTTTCAAGGGACATTCTGAGAGATGCAGGGATGAGCTCAGCCTCGGGAGGAGCTCAGGCGCTTAAGAAAGCGCCAAGAGAGGGGGGGGTGCCACAGAGGTGTGGCGGAAGGGTGCCGAAAGAGACAAATCAAACAGGACTCGCGCGGCCCGGCGCAACGAAAAGAGATGAGGCGTTTCGAAGAAAAGAAAAACAAATTCGCGTCGGCGATAGGCCTCCTCGCAGCGCAAGGCGCCGCC